ATACGAGAGACATCTTATAGCATTAATAACTTCTTGATGTCAAATCAACTATGATGGCGAGATCAACTTTCACAAAACTTGGAAGCAATTTAATCCTATCAACTCCATAATAGAAAGTCAATTTTAAAATAAAATAATTTTATTTTTTATTTTTTTTTTAATTTTATCAATTTATAATGCTATATTTTATAATGTTTTCTGTCTTTTTAAAAAATATTATCTATTATTTACCTTTAATCCATAAAAATCTATAATTTAAAAAACTATTATGTAGATTATAACTTAATTGTTATTAATAAATTAATCTTTCTTTAAAATATTTGCGGAAACTTTGTTAGATTGAAATCATATTGTTTCATAAAACAAGACAAAATTTTAAAATTTGTACATAAATTTACATGGATTTCTATTCAAATAATACATCAGCATTACAACAATAAAAATTGAATACCGATTGTAATACTTATAGTAAAACTTAAGTAACATCTTTGCGATAATTGAAATGTATTATCTTATGTTGTGGGATATCAAGAAGAAAACAGTGGCTCTTTGTGAAACATTATGATTCAACACATACAACCAGAATTGGTTGCAATCATTTTGTCCCTGGAGCACTTAAAACAAGTACAACTATTTTGTCCTCAAACGACTTGGTTATCAACGATTACAGTTATCTTGTTCGCAAACGTGTTAAAAAAAAAGTATGAAATAAAAGAAATACTTTTTATCTAACATAAACCTAAATTCAAATCTTACTTGATATAATTCAAAGTTGTAAGTATTTATCATAAATAACCGAGGAATTTAGTTTATATTTCTTCGAAAAATTTATATCCAATTTATCAGATATTACCATTTTGTTTTGTTTAACATCGTTATTATTATAGCGAAAAATGTTTCAGATAGAGGTGATTATAATGTTTCAGATAGAGGTGGATAGAGGAAGAATATATTTTGATGTTATTAGACTTTTTATAGATAAAACATATGTGAAAGTTATTAATGTTTTTTAAACGAAATCATTTTATTATATTTTAAAAAAAATATTAAGTTGCTTATATCCAAAAATCATTAATTTAGAAGATATTTTATGTATTTAGAGTTTGTAAAATTTATTATATAAAAGAGATAGAATATTCTATTGTTTATATCCTGTTTATTTTTTATATGGTAAGTTTTCTAAATTTTAAAATATTTTCTAAATTAGTGATTTTTAATATAAATGGATTAATATTTTTTTTTGTATAGAATATTAATTTTTATTAATTGTAAAAATATTCTCATTTAAGAGAAATGTTAATGAATTTGATATGCCCTCTATTTATAAAAAATAACATCAGAATATGCTTCTCTTGAAATTCAATAACATATTTATTATATGGATAATAATAATGATGAAAATCGAGACGATAATGTCTGATGAATCACTTTATATAAACAATCATTTTATATTTTTTAATTATTGTTATTATTATTATTATTTTTATTTATTCATAACATTATTTATTAAATAATAATAACATAATTTTATACATTAATTTATTTAACAGATTCATTTTAAATAAAGATAAAGTTCAAAGTAATTCGATGGAATAATTAATATAATGCTAGAAATAATTTGTCGCTCTCAAAAATCTTATTTACAATTAGTATTAATATATTTTAAATACGATGCATTATTATATTTATTTTAAATTATTTTATCTTAATATATGATTGATAAATGCAATTTAAATGCTATATATTAATAACAATGTTGCATCTATATAATCATCCAACTATATATATCTTTTTCAGAACAGAAATTGGAATAAAATAATTTATTTATTAATTAACCTCGATACAACAATGTTAATATAATATACAAACATTTTAAATGCAAAAGCTTCTCCCTCAGTGTAATAAAATAACAAAATATTTAAAACAAAGAAATAAAAAAATAATTATCTTTTTTACATCAAGATTTTTTAAATTTGTAATATTAGGCACAAAAAATGTATATTTTCAATCACTTGTAATAAAAAATATTAATAATTTTATTATCCAATTATTAACAATATTGTATGTGATTGATAAATACAATTTAGTTGATTACATATTATACTATACACGTTAATAATAATGTATGTAATTACTTAATGGTAACTACATATCTCTTTTTCTAGAACAGAAGTTGGAACAAGGAAGTAATTAACTTATTAACTGATCCGGGTACAACAATGTAATATAATAGAGACAAGTGCAAAGATTTAACTCTCTCACAGTATAATAAAATAATAAAGTATTTAAAACATATAAAAAAATAATTATCTCTTCTACATCAAGGTTTTTTTTTAAATATTAATCAACAAAAAGATACATTTCAAGCAATAAAAAAATATTAATACAATATTATTATCCATAATAGAATTTAATTTTCTTTCATTAGAAACAACTTTTATTTAATTCAGTATCTCTCTGTATCCTTAAAGCTATATTATAGCGAATTCTCTCGTCACATTTGGTCCCAAGAAACGCTCTTCCAACTTTCCTCTTTTTTTCCCCCCTCCCAAACCTCTCGAATATTCGCGAGAAAGCCAAGTTCTCCAAACAAAATAGTGTCTATCCTGTGAGAGACGAACAGTTCCAACAAGCGTGCGACGAATTTCGGATACATTTCCACGCTCCGGCAAAAAAGACGCTCGCGTATACATCCGTCTCTGTGAAAACCTATCAGAACAGCCATCTAATATTTGCACGCGATATGCGAACATGCGCGCTTCACATGAAAAAAAAAATCCTATTTGCCGTCCAAAGAAGACTTTTTTTCTCCGCGCTGATTCTCCCAAAGAAAAAGAAAAAACTTGTAAGTGGATTACAGAAAGGGGAGGAGGGGTGGGGGAGGTTAGAAGGAATGGAAGTTCGTACAGTGATTTTTTCCGAACTGGAATTCGCGGAGAGACAGGAGGGTTCTGGTACTGGTTCGCATAAATTTTATGCCGGATAGATATTGAAAATTCCCATCCCTGGTGCGCGAAAACTGTTCAATGTGCTAAGGAATGAAGGTTTTGCGAATAGTGCGAATACGTATGGGATTTGGTCATTTTTGAAAAATTTTTTTTTTTTCTTTATTTCATTCTTTTTTTTTTTTTTTCGTCTATAAA